TCAGTAGTAACACACACACACACACATTCAGGAACGGCGTACTTTTGGTCTGACTCATCCGGTTCCAAATATATGTAATTCCTGACACTAAAACGATTCCACCGATTCCTTCTTTTTAAGCGAAGCATAATTGATTCACTGAGAATAAAAGTAACTTATTAAATGTTCACCAGTCTAACCGCAACACAAAACAGTCGCCGAACAAAGCGAAACATAGTTCTGTTATTCGAACAAAACGTCACACAGAATAAATGTATATAAAAATCCCATGTTCCTTCTTGATCGAGTAACAGAACTATGTTTCGCTTTGTTCGGCGACTGTTTTGTGTTGCGGTTAGACTTGCGAACATTTAATAAGTTACTTTTATTCTCAGTGAATCAATTATGCTTCGCTTAAAAAGAAGGAATCGGTGGAATCGTATTAGTGTCAGTAGTAACACACACACACACACATTCAGGAACGGCGTACTTTTGGTCTGACTCATCCGGTTCCAAATATATGTAATTCCTGACACTAAAACGATTTCTTTGCAGGAAATTCGAAAAAATCATAGGAGATTCAATTGCATACCTTGGATCGAATTTGACAATTTTACTTCCACCGAATGTGGCTAGATATAAGTTACCGTCAAGATCAGAGGTCATTCCATCGAAAACAAAGTCTGGTGTAACGCCATTTTGAATGAGTGAATAGATTTGACGTTCATTAGCTGTAACAAAATAGTTTTATCTTAGTAATTCAAGCTGTTTCTGAATGAAAATGGAAAAAGGGAATATTTACTCAAGTCGCCATTTTCCGGGTTATAATGAAATTCCTTGATGTCATGTGTGCACGAGTCCACATAGTAGAACTTGTTCGTTTGTCGCACCCATGTCAATCCATTCGATATGGACACATTGCCAAAGAATTTGTGCAAGCCTTTTCGTTTGTTATATTTATAGAAACCTCCCGATGGATTCGGTATATTGTCGCACGGATCATTACTATTTGTGCCACCATAAAATCGACCACGTGCATCAGTTTTTATATCGTTTATTAGATTCACGGGATTTTCATCGATTTCGAATAGTGTCATCACTACGCTAGCTTTTGCCGCACGACCATTCCAATGAACAATCACCGCTTTCAAACCAATTCCAACCAGAAAATAATTTTCGGCACAATTAATTGGTAAAATAAACCGTAGATTTGGCGCCATATCGATGGTCGCCCGATAATCCTGGTCCTCATCGTAATCGTAACGGTGAATGGAAGAATTGGAACCGGCGATGTCTACATAGTATAAACTACGAGTTTTTGCATCCCAATATGGGACCTCACTTAGCGTATTTCTTGATGTATGTAGTCGTTGGATCTGATAACCCAACTAAATATCCGTAAAAAAAAATTCTTTTAATTTGTATATAGACTCATTTTGTCTCCTTTTGAAAATGTTACAAGATAGAACAGAGAAAATTGGAAAGCGCTAGAAAAACGACAAAAAAACACCAGAAAAATATTTCAACTCACAACGGAACATGCTAAAAACACTAGTGACCAGCAAATCAGATAAGTTAAACGACACATTTTCCAGTTGTAATTAACTCAACTTCAAAAACACGATTGATTCATATGGCCAATCCGTGTGATATTTAAATGGTTGGTAGTGAAACAACTTAGCTATGGAAAGTATTACACGAGTTGTTTGTTCATCGAGCATTTGAACAAATATAGTTGTAACGATTGAAACAGACCTTGACCTTCACCTGTTTGCAGCCGATTTAATATTCAAATATTTCTATAGAATGTTTCTATGTATTTAGTGGCATGAAGCAAATTTGAGTCACAGTATGCATTAGGAAGTTTTTTTTCAACCCTCCGTTGTACGGTTATCCAACAAAATGAAGAAAACGAAATTTCCGAAACGTCAAAACGCCAAAAAAAAATCTCAAAAAAAAAATTCCGAAAAAAATCTCGAAAACCAAAATCTCGAATCCAAAATACCGAAAACCAAAAACGCAGAAAAATTAGTTCAAAGTCCCATTCCATAGAACCGGAGGGTAATACTATTGCTCGAAAATACTATCCATTCGTCACCTATATCGCCAATACCTTGCAAATGATGCACAAATATACATATTTGTTGTTGTACTGAAGCGCTAGATGCACTGATAGTTTATCAGGGCGGCGACTCCGAGATTTTTTTTCGGCATTTTGACGTTTCGGAATGTTCGTTTTCTTCATTTTGTGTGGTTACCCGTTGTACACCGATTTTAAAACCTTCCGTTGTACACCTCGGGTCTGGCTGGACCCCTATGTATTTGTATGCATTTGTATGGGAACGTATGCATGCTATATTATTTTTCACGAGACTGATAAAAGATAAGTGATAACTGTCTTCCGCAAAGTTGTAGTAAGGGTCAAGTACTACAATTTATTTCAGTTTGCTATCGCCTTATCTCTTATCAGTTCCGCTAAAAATGATAAGAGATGTCTCTCTTTTTTCGCGATTTTTCGCGCAACTGATAAGAGATAACGAATTTTTGTCTTGAGCAAAGTTGTAGTACTTGATCTGCCCTACCACTTTGTAGAAGACAGTTATCACTTATCTCTTCTTTATCTCAATATTGATAGAGAATTAAATTTTAGGAAGCTACCTGGAAGCTCATTTCGATATCTAAACTAGAAATATGTTAAAATAATGCTCAAAATTGAAAAAGGTCTGGCCAGTCCCGGGTGTACAACGGAGGGTTAAATCAACTTCAAACACGATTTGTAGCATTTCCAATCTGGTCTGCGGTTTTTAGAGTATATCTCCCATTTATTGTACTTGTCTAAAACGAGTTTCTTGACCATTCGTTTCGTTCATTACTTTTGTAAGTAGACACGAATTTAATTTTCCCAATGTATTGAATGTCGATTACCAGAATACCCGATGCTACAAACTTTGCTTTGACATTCACACGTGTGAACTGAAATGCGGTGATATAAATAATAATTCAATGCAAAGAAAACACAGCTTGAAATGATGAAGCTGAAATTTTGGCTTTAAATTTGGCACGGTCAAATTTCGTTTATCTCGGACGATCGGTTGCTCTACGTCGATGATATCACTTAGTGAGGTAGAAGTACTTTATATTTATGTTAGTGCCATTGTTTCAGATGAAAAATCGCGTTCGGTCGATATTTCTAGTAGTTTAAGTCTGCAGGTGGAATTCCTCTTATAATATACTCGAAATGTGGCTGAAACTCCATTTGTTAGGAGAAATACAGATTTTTTTTGGAATCATTTCCTATATTTATTGAATCGAATAATTTAGCAAAGATTGAATTTCACTCCAGTGTACCCTCTCACGCCCAGTCCTGTAATTTTATACAAATATCCGGATCCTTCCGGTTGTAAACCATCTTTGTTTGCCGTAACAACGTACAAAATGTCCAATTTGGGTCCACCAAATGCCAATGATGTGATTTGTGTGGCTGGCATTTCAATTTCTAATATGACTTTTCGAGTTCTAGAAATCAAATAGATGAGCAGACAAACAGAATTCAATAATTATGCTTCGCTTAAAAAGAAGGAATCGGTGGAATCGTATTAGTGTCAGTAGTAACACACACACACACACATTCAGGAACGGCGTACTTTTG